TGACTCTGAATTATACTTAACGGTGACCAAATTAACGCTATAACCGAGCAGCTAGCAGAATAGACTCTGATTATACTTAACGGTGACCAAATTAACGCTACAACCGGGCAGGTACCAGAATAGACTCTGATTATACTTAACGGTGACCAAATTAACGCTATAACCGGTCAGCTAGCAGAATAGACTCTGATTATACTTAACGGTGACCAAATTAACGCTAAAACCGGGCAGGTACCAGAATAGACTCTGAACTCATTATACTTAACGGTGACCAAATTAACGCTACAACCGGGCAGGTAGCAGAATAGACTCTGAATATACTTAACGGTGACCAAATTAACGCTACAACCGGGCAGGTACCAGAATAGACTCTGGTTATACTTAAAGGTGACCAAATTAACGCTACAACCAAGCAGGTTTCAGAATAGTCTCTGATTATACTTAACGGTGACAAGATTAACGCTACAACCGAGCAGCTAGCAGAATAGACTCTGATTATACTTAACGGTGACCAAATTAACGCTACAACCGAGCAGGTACCAGAATAGACTCTGGTAATACTTAACGGTGACCAAATTAACGCTACAACCGGGCAGGTACCAGAATAGACTCTGATTATACTTAAAGGTGACCAAATTAACGCTACAACCGAGCAGCTAGCAGAATAGACTCTGATTATACTTAACGGTGACCAAATTAACGCTACAACCGAGCACCTAGCAGAATAGACTCTGATTATACCTAACGGTGACAAGATTAACGCTACAACCGAGCAGCTAGCAGAATAAGACTCTGATGAGACTTAACGGTGACAAGATTAAGATATAGATTTATTTAATACTCATCCTTAAACAAAGTAAAAAAATGTAAATTAAAATGTCCATATAATTAGTACAGATTTAACCATATGCTACATTGAAACAACATTAAAGAAAAAAAAGAGAAAAAAAAAAAGGAATTAAAAAGTTCAACATCAAAAATTTATTTTTCGTTTTAACAACCTGTACAATGAAACACACGTTAGTGTCACGATGGGACTATTTTAACATTTAAACACTATAGACGTCCTGCTCATGCATGTCATGTGGGTGCATACAATCTGAGTTCAATCTGATCAACTTTCTATTTTAGACAACCCGCGAATTTCAAACAAGACAGTGCCTGCAGAATACCAATATCGGCACATTATGCAACAGCATTTTTTTTCTTCTTTCTATAGAAATGACAAACACGTGTTTTAAAATGCTGTAATAATTAATGCATTCATATAGAACATATATATGTATTAAATGCTTATCACGCTAAGGAAATAGAGCTGTATGTTAATATTAGCGTTAAAAGTAGCAAAATATTAATTGATGAAAGGGACTTATTAAATTCAGAGACATATAGGTAACTCTTCATCTCTGTTAAATTTTAATCTGCCAAAATAAACGTTTCATTGTTCACAAATATTACATCAACATGTTCTCTTTCTTGCGTCATTACATTAATATCAATATTTGAAAATTCTTAAATTAACTTAATTCAAAAGTCATTCTATCAATCATTTGATCGGGATTAAGTACAAACATTAATCGATATATTTTTGCACGATTTTTTAGCTGAATGGTTTTACAATTTTATCGCTTATTTAATCAGCAACTGTGTCAGAGATAGAAAATGGCGACAAGTGGGTGTTTAACTCGTTCAAAACAATATTTATCAGACATAAATATTGCTTGTGTTCCGTGTAGGAGTAGGATAAAGAGGGAAAGACGAATAGAGGTGTTAAATATTGTATAGACTGCCAAGAGTTTTTGTGTACTGTATGCGTGAATAAACACAACAGTGTTTCTGTTTTCGCTGGACATTCTTTACTTGATAGGTCAAAATTTAGAACATTAGGCGGATCAAAAGACGAACACACTGCCTCTTTGCAAACAAAGAGACACAATTTACATTCAACGAAGGTATTGGACGGAGATCAAAAGTATATCTAAACTCCTATTATTGTTCATAAATTTACAAAGATATGATGTATCTGGGGATGATTATACCGTACAGTTTCTGTTGGTGTAAAAAGCCTGTACTTTTCAAGAAACGTACATCAAAAAAGTAACTCAATATTTATATAAAATAATGTCAACTTTTTAGTATAATAGATATGTTATACTGTGTCACGAAAAGAATGAAATGACATTTTGTAAGTTTCAGTTTTCTAAGAACTAATAGTGATGCCAGACGACGGCGTTGGTACAACTCTACAATTTATCATGTCTATATTAGCCTTCCACTAAGGATATTCGCATGCCACTGTTTATCCTTGCGTGCTAGTACAATACGGCTAAATGGGTTCAAATTTCTCGACTCTATAGATGCATGTCCTAGCCAAGCAAGTGAGGTGGTTTTGATCCAAAACGTTGCTTTAAGTTTGTATATTAGCCAAATCATCATCCCTGTTTCGGAGCCATATGACCTACATTGTGCAAACTAAACCAGACCATTCATTGAATTAATTGTTAAAGATCTGTGATGCTGTAAATAGAAAAGAAATTGTAAAACTTATGGCAATGAAGACACAAATGTTCAAAATAACAGTCATATTCTATTCTTTTTAGGAGTTATACTAATAAGTTCATATCACATATAAATATTCTTTATAATAATAATGTAGATTAAATTTTTATATACTTTTTAATTAGGAGACGTTCAGACAAGCGCCAAAGGGATAAGCTAGTAGAACCAAGAACCAAGTTATATACATTTGAACATATAGGCACATACAACATATTTCTACCTAAAAAGAAAGAAATCAGTCAGGTATGGTCATTATGCATACTTGATTCTTGTGACATACTTATTGCTGACCGTTATAACAATAATTTGAAACTTCTAGATGGCAAAACATACCGAAATAAAGAAAAAGTTGAGCTTTCTGATACACCTAATTCTGTTTGTAAAGGTCGGACACATGAGGCAATAGTCGCTTTAGAAAATGAAGGCATACAATTCGTATCTACGAAGAAGAATCTTGTTCTTACCAATATATTAAGGATGGATCATATTTGCTTGGGTGTTTGTATGATTTCTTCGAATATATATGTCACTGACGGTAAAAACAGAAATATTTTTAAGTATGACTTGGAAGGAAAGCTATTAAAGACAATTTCTGGAGAAACAATATTTGGGTGGAACCAAATTTTTAGTAGCCAGTGACGATGGAAAAGCTCTGTTTGTAACTGATAGGGACGAAGGATTGGTAAAAATGGATCTTGAAGGCAATGTCATCTGGAAACTACCAGAAAATGCTTTTGGAGAAGCATTCAACTTATGCACAGACGGATTTGAAAAATATTTTCGTTGCTTGTAATGATTCTTGTAATGTAGTTCAAGTAACATATGATGGAGAGTGTCTAGGAAGGGTGGTGAAAGACAAGTTTAGGACTGATGCCACGGGGATTTGTTTCGACAGAAATACATCGAAACTTGTTGTTGGAGAAATGGATGGGAGCAGGATACATGTTTATTCGGTGAGGTAGGAAAATGACAATCGTAGAAGAACTTCACAGCTCGTGTTTGGTTAAATAATATAAAATAAAAAAAATTTGGTAGAAATACAACCGTGCATAATCACAGTTCAAAGTGGTATTGCACCTTATTGTACTAGAGTAATAATGTTAATTATTGTCACCCTCTCGAGGAAAACGTCTCTGTTTTCATTGGCAGATAAAAAGCACTTCTTCACTGTCCTATTAATAATTGATTATGATTTGATTTCTACAATCATAGCTGAAAAGTAAAAATGGAAATCTTTCTGACACGAGACAGTTCTGTCGATTTAAATTAACAGTTTTCTAGATAGAATAAAAAAGAAGATTAAATTTATATGAAACATCTAAACAATTTTGATTATAAGATTTATTTCCTACATTTTTTTTTTGTACATGTATATGTTTTTGCTTGTACGGATACGCTTTAAATGTCAACTTAAAACAACCAGAAAACATATAAAATTTGGCATTTTAAACATTGCAGTATTAAAGTGGTATGCGAAGGATTATAAACTTTTTAAAATGGTTTTAAAAACAGCGTCTTCCCTTCTTTTTGGGCAAAACTAAAATTTGCTTATTCCCTGCACAAATATGTACAGACAGTCACAAGAATATTGCTATGTTTGTGTTGAAGATTTAATACCGTGAAACCGGTCATTGGGGATGAAAGAGATGTTGCAATTTCCATTATCATCATCAACAGACTCAATAAAACCAAGTCTGTAATTTTCATATACTTCCGTTGTTTTATTTGCTTTCGAGGGATCATTCCTTTTTTAAAGTTTAATATGAGATGTATTTTTTTAGTTGTAAGTTATAAGAATTTCATAATCTTTCATAACTCATAACTAATGGCAATATACTTTATGAATGTTTTAAATTTTTAAACGCCAATATCAGAAATAACTGTTAACACGTCTATTGATTCTCAACCAAACCGAACGGTTATGTGACGAAAAATGACATAACGGATGATTTCAGATGATGAATGTTAAAGGATTTTGTTTACGTATTTGTATTACGTTAAAAAAAGAAGATATAATCAACTTTTAAATTATTGTAGACTGGCGCCTAATTATTTGAAACTAAGACATTCAGGCGAAACGTATTGAATATTGAACATTGAATATTCCATTAATCATCTTTCGTCTGCTGTAAAAATCCACGATTAACCTCCAAACATTGTATTAAAATTTATATTTGTTTCCAGCATTGTATTATGCTTAATGCAAAATAAACTATTCGTATTAGTTAATTTGTGAGTTAATATTTGGATGTTAATACATGAAAAATTTGTATTAATAATAAATATTATTTTTAAGTTGTGTGTGATAGTTTAATTTTAGCTCACCTGTCAGAGCATTAAATGCTCCGAAGGAAACTTTTGCTATGGCAATATGTCTGTCTTTCGCCATTGTCCACGATTTCTTTGAACCATATCTCCTCCTAAATCACAAGATTGATTTTGACAAATTCTACAGGAATGGTCACAAGAGACCCTATTCAAAGGTTATATAATAGTTTGATACCTTAGTTGGTAACTTAAGATAAACATATAAAATGCATTTTCTTCTCAAAATCTACAAAACCCAAATTTTAGACATTTGTTATGTAGCATCACCACCTTGTGGTTCTTTAAAAAAATCTTGGTAAATCGTGCACATTGGGTAAAAAATAGCCCAGTCAGAAATATTTCATAAATCATGCAACTGCTGTGAAAAATGAGACACTCAATTTGATCTAACTTCTTTTATCCTGCATCGAAAAATTGTGACTTTTATTGCGATGGATCACAGCTAAGCAATTTCGGGTCTCAAGAACTATAACGTTTTCTTCTTACCTACGATTAACGACTCGGTCAGTCAGTTTACAGTGACCACAAATGGCATCACTCTTGAGGGTCAGATGTTCAATATTAAGGAGAAAATCACTTTAATTCCACATATATAACATATGAAATAAAAAATTAGATGTAAGCATACAAGAATGTATAATAATATACACAAGGAATGTAAGTGGAAGAAGAGTCATACAGGGTAATCATTTGATAGAATGATAAATATTGGAAACCTTAAAGAAAGTCGAAATTTGAAAATGTTGTGGACTCGGTTCTGATTGAGCCTGACCATGAACATAAAGATTATAAAACCGGCTATCTACTACGTATGTGCTTAGATTTTAAAACGAACAAATCAGAATAATTTGATGTCCATTTATGAGAGAAGTGTAGAAGAAATATGATACAAACGATCATGTCTTAAAGGCACATTAAGCTTCAGAAATGATAAAAAAATCATTCTGGAGAAATGGGGCAAATATGTGTTTTATAATGTTTGGTAAATTGGTTGAAAACATGTTAATGCTTATCATCTGAAGAAAAAAGCGCTTAAGATGAAATTACTTATGATATAATTAGTAAAATGAAAGCAATATGCTTACAATAACTGCACTTATTGCCAAAAACACAGATGAATAAACTGATGGGTTAGCTTTATGGTCAATGGGTAACTTTTTGAAACTGTAACACACACAAAAACACACAGGCGCGCGCGTGCGCGCACATGCACGAACGCACACACAAAAATAAAAAAATAGCATTTAAAAAAATAAAAATAGTTGTATTTTAAGACTTTAAGAGCCTTAAGTCGTTTTAATACTTGACACTTTTATAATTTATGAAAATAATTATAAATTGGATTGGTTTTCATTTTTTTATTTATTACAAAAAAAAAACATTCTTTGTAAAACACCACAACAATATATCTGTTAGTTTAATATGAGCAGATGATTTGTATCTAGCTAGTCTTTTATGATATGAGTGATAATATGATATACAAATTTCTCGATGTCTTTCAGGATATTGCATTAATCATTTGAAAGAATTTCACTTAAATGGTCAATTCAAATATTACAAACATTCTACACTTGAGAACAAATTGTCTTTCTATTGTCAAAGGGTAGAATAAAAAATTAAACTCCTGATGTAGGTTTGTCAATTTAATTGTAATATATACGAAGAAAAAGCCTAAAAACATAAATACATGATTATAATACAAGTTAAATCTTGCATATTAGACAGGATTATCTACCGTTTACACCGGCGCTAGAATATAAGAATCCTACACCGGCTCCGGTACAGACCGGAATATCTAGCTCGAGGGTGACTGTTTACGGCGGTAACGAGGCTCTGCCGAGTTTCCGCTAAACAGTTACCCGAGAGCTAGATATTCCCGTCTGTACCGACAGCCGGTGTTTGATTATATTTCTTGCATATTGCATATCAATTATTTTCAGAACAGAAATTACGAAAACTGACATTCTCATTACGCACTTTTTTCTTAAAGCAGCGTATGAACGTACAACTTCATTCATGACGGTTAAGTGACGTCATCCTAAGAACGCCAGTCATTCATAAAAGGCGTGCAGCAATGACGTCATTTAAAGCACGCGACTTTTCTTACATGGGGTTGTAAGACAGGGTTTTCTTGCACCGGTGTAAACGGTAGATAATCCTGTCTGATATGCAAGAATAAAAGAATATTACACCGGATGCCGGTACAGACCGGAATATCTAGCTCGAGGGTAACTGTTTACAGCGGTAACGAGGCTCTGTCGAGTTTCCGCTAAACAGTTACCCGAAAGCTAGATATTCCCGTCTGTACCAACAGTCGGTGTTTGATTCTTTTCTTGCATATTACATGTCAATTATTTTCGGAACAGAAGTTATGAAAACTGATATTCTCATTAGGCACTTTTTTCTTATAGTAGCGTATGAACATACAACTTCATTCATAACGGAAAAATGACGTCATCATAAAAACGCGATTCATTCATAAAAGGCGCGCGTCAATGACGTCATTTAAGCACGCGACTGGTCTTACATGGGGGGGGGGTGTAAGACATAGTTTTCTTGCATATCAGACAGGATAATCTACCGTTTACACCGGTGCTGGTTATAAAAATTTAATAAATCAGAGCAAAGACCAAAAGTCAATGCGATGTTCATAGACCGCAGCCCCCGACAAAATCCAATCACACCAGCAGAGCACACAGAATGCACCGAGAGAACTAAAGGGCGGTGAAGAGGGGAGGGACATATATTAAGTAAAAATTTAATGATAGAACGAAAAGGGGCAGATTTTGGAACCAAAGGCACAAGGGGTGTAAGAAAAAAAAAGGGGGAGGACAGGGCACAAAACGAGACAAGAGGGTCTGGAAAGAAAATACTTCCCGTTATCGACAATTTAACAAGATAGGACCACAAAACATTGAAAAAATACACTATACATACATGTGAAAAAACACAGAGGGGTACCGCTATAAATGTGTGTATATATTCACCGCTATCTCGAAGGTACCCGCTTACATTAAACGCATACAAGTGATAAGACTTGTCCCAGTTTAACGTTTCAGTACTTGATACGCTGTGTTTATCAATCTCCTACGCAGTGATCTCCCCTTATCAGTACAGAGATCTACAATCTGCCAAGGGAGGTAGTCACTGTGAGGAGTTTGTGTGTTTATATTAGAGTTTTGCAGCTTACTCTGACACGGACAGTGGACATCTGATGACGAACAGATGTTGCGGGGAATTTCTCAAAATGGTTGTACACTGAAAAGAATCAAAATTCAGAACATCGGACTTTCTATATACAAATGTATACTGGCCGGACAATCAGTTTACCAGACAAAACTGTTCCTGCCGAATAGTACTTTATTTTTTTATTCAATTAAAAAATCATACAGTTTGAATCGTACACACACATTCTATTTCAAAGTAAATAACAACAAAACAACTCTTAGGTAAATATTGTTGATACAGTTCATGCCCTTTTGTTTACTAGTTATTTCATGACCTGGTCATGCAGGGGAATTATCTGTTCTGCGCAGGCCCGAATATGGAGGCCCTTAATGGGTTATTTTATATGGGTGTACATTTTATTCTTCTCAACGTTACCTTAGGAGACAATCGTAACATATTTTAATGATAAACAGTAATGTTAAATTTACTATTTAGTCCTAACAGTATCTCATTGTTGTCTTTTACAAAGAAAAGCAAATTAAAAAAACATATTAGGAAATGAGTTACGCCCATGGGAGGAAACTCTACATGAAATGTAAATAAAAAAGATTTTATGGCTTTTGCAACATGCTACATGATGACCAAAAGGAAACTGTATGACAAAGAACAGAATTCCATTTTAATATCAAAATGTTTCATACATTTAAGGGTCATGAAGAATCATTATGTTAATTGAGTTAATAGTGTTCAATTGCACCCCTATATATTGGCCTCTTCGTAACAAGCATGGCTACCATATCTATTTTAGTGACATACTGGGTTTGTCCAGTAACTTAACCTTGCCATTCAATAGTCGTAGTTTCCTTGCTGATTATTTAAAGATAAATTTCAATTCACGACTTTAAAAAAATTAAACAAAATGTCTGGTAAATTGAGTTGTCTACACGATTTTTTCCTCTTATAATGTCCTACTTTAAAGACACATTTCTACGGTCAAATGTTTAATTTCATGTGTTTACATGTATTAAGAACCCAAATTATTTGGGTTAAATTCCCTTCTTTTTTATTATTTTAAATAAAAGTTACAGCGAAAAACATATTTTGTCCGGTTATATGTAGAATCCAAGTACAGTATTATTATTTTGAGAAAACCCCTGAAAATTATCAGTAGTCCATCGTCCGCTGTCCGCATCGGAGTAAGCTGCAAAAGTCTAATAGGAAGTATAGTTATCTAAAGTAGGACAGAAAAGAAAATGGCGACTGGAGGACGTTTAACCCATTCAAAGATTAATGCTTCCGATGAAGTTATTGACTACGCTTGTTCTCCATGTACTAAGAGAAACAAGACGAACGAAGCTGTTAGATTTTGTGTGGAATGCCAGGAGTTTCTGTGTCCTCTATGTGTGGATAACCACAACAGTTTTTCAGTTCTTACAGGACACACCTTACTAGATAAATCACAGTTTGGATCTCTGGGGGGATCAGCTGCACCGAACGCCCCTGCGTTGCCGACAGAGAGATGCAAGGTTCATTTAACGAAGTTAGTGGACATGTACTGCGCAAACCACGACGCTGTTGGCTGTTCTATATGTTTAAATATCAACCACAGGTATGTTAAAATTTAAGTTTTCATACCCCGATAATCTGTTATTAATGTGTATTTTGCAACACCGAAATGATAGGTCCACCCGTTCGTAACTATGAATTTGTAATTTATATGCTACATATGCCTTGATTCTAACTTTATTGCCCTATTTTTAACTTTAATGATTCTAAAAATATCAAAATATTTGTTTACAGTTAGAAATAAAATTTGCAGTTTCCATGAGATAACTGTGACCTAACGGTCACAGAGGTTTCACTTGACACAGATATAAACACCCATATTATCGTTCCTGTTCACATGTTTATAGCCAGAAGGATAGCTTGATGCAGTATAAATTTCAGTTATAAACCAGATTATGTTCTTTTTGTCTCTTTTCATGGAAATAATATTTAATAATCTATTGTGCAGCAATGGATTTCAGGATAAAAAATATCACCAAGGGCAGAGAAATTGATAACCCGCAACCATTTAACGGATGTGCTGATAATTTCAGTAAATATTTACAAAATAAAACGTTGCAGCGGTTTAAAATTACAGCAAAATTAACATTGCAAATACAGTCAAAACCCTCAATTAAGACCACCATCGGGACAGGACCAAAGTGGTCTAAATTGCGGGCTGGTCTTTATTGTGAATATTCTTATCATTGCTTACACACCTTTTGACCATGGTCTTTTTAGTCATTTTGTTTCAACAAACAATATGTATCTTAACCTACAAATACAATAAAATTTAACATCTGATGGGAAGGAAGAAATTTAAAATTAAATTTTATTTGGTCTGATTTCAATATTAATTATTATATGATCCATCAAATAAAAAAACAATTATTCACCTAATCAATGTGCTTAATGCAGCATTCAACCACTCTAAATGTTACTTTCTTACCTTATTTCATACAATATCCCAATGATATAAGGCGTTTTTTGACACCTTGTGAAATCAAATGTCATGCCTTATAGCATTCAAGCAGATCTAGGTAGGTGTTGACTTTAAATCAGTGGTTTTAATAGTGCGGTCAAATAAAGAACAAAACAAAGAATTGGGACTGAATCTGGTGGTCTTAAAAGTGGATAAGCGAGGTGGTCTTAATTCTGGATCATGTAACCATTGAAATAAAGTACAGAAAGAAAATTCCGTACTTTTAAAAAATGGTCTTAATAGCGGTGCGGTCTTAATTCCGTGGTGGTCTTAAGTAAGGATTCTACTGTACTTGACTTAAATGTTCTTTCGTGGGACAAGACATGTATCAATCATCTAATTCCATATAAATGTATGAGCTTGTGCTTTTTTCAAAAATTGTTGAATGATTATTTATCAAATTATTTCTTTTGTCAAACTTCTCCTGTTTGTTTGAATGTCAATATCTTAATCACAGATACTTGTATCAGATTGGTCAAAAACGTCAATTTGGTCATAAAAAACCAATGTTAAGTGGATTTTTAAAAAATATATTTCACTTTTATTTTGTTTTAGTATAAAGACTGATACTAGCACCTGTGTACTAAATCAATATGCAGGTCTTTTGTTAGCTTCAAAACGATAGAAATATCCAATTCAAGTTAGCTAAAGCATTTACAAATCAGACAATGATAAAAAATTATACTGTTATCTTTCTATAAAAAGGATAAACTAGCTAAATATTAAACGTCGGATGTAGCCATTTATATAAACAATATATTCACCGCAATGTTAAAGGTGTCCGCTTACAATATAAGTCATTATTGAAACTTGATTCGCGTGTTTCTTAACAACATTTTCTGGCGAGCTTCTGGTGAAAATATGTTGTCTGTTGTACACCTCTACTAACAATTTGTTGTTGACATATGTTCCGAAATCATTTTGTGAATTCACATCGATACTTTAAATTTGGCAATTCTAAGGAATTATACTGGCAATTGTTAAGAAATTAGGGCCAAAAGTATAATACGCATGCCAAATTTAGAATAGTTTCTTTCATTTGACCAAGGTGACGCAGACAGTAACTATCTATATTTATGAGACTGATATGACTATTTTTTCTAGTTTGTACTTTTGTGAAAATGACATTGAATTAAGTATTTTTATTTTAATGAAAAATAAGTGTTGTCATCTATTCTTTCAGGAGTTGTCAAGATGTACATTACGTACCTACATATGTCCAGGGACTGAAGCCATCTTTGCAGACGTCGAGTTTAAAAAGTCAAGTAAATGCCACTATTGTAAAGCTTGAAGGTCTCATGAAACGGTACAAGGATATAAGGGGTGAATTTGACACGAAAAGAGTTTCTTCCTTGAAAGATATCCAAGAATTCAGAAAAGAAATCAACAAAACATTAGATCGATTAGATGAAGCATCAATACAGAATATTAACAAGCAGTATAAAGATTTAGATCTGACGTGCGAAAATGAAATGGCAGATATTCAACGAATGATTGATGAATTGAAAAGAAGTAAAACGTCGCTAGAATCATCTGTGACGAATGCATCGCAGCAGTTTGTAGTTGATAAAAAATGCAAAGGCGATATTGTAGATTCGGAAAGTCTTCTAGAACGATCTATGATTCATGAGTCAAAGTTTATACAATTTAAAGGAAACACAGAACTTTTCGATTATATAAATACATTTCATTCCCTAGATCAGAATTTGCAACAAACTGCCCAGCAAATCAAGCCAAAGAAAACATTGTATGAATTAAAAAGTGCAGACACATTTGATATAAGACTACCAACAAATGTGGGACCATGTGAGATTCGATCAATGTGTATACTTGATTCTGGTGATATTCTAATAGCAGACGTTACGAACAAAGCATTAAAACTGATAGATGGTGAATCGTATAACGTGAAAGACGCGCTAAAGGTTCAAGATCAACCGTCAGGAGTATGTAAAGGTCGGCTTCATGAGGCAGTAGTGTGTTTAGACCGTACAGGAATACAATTCGTATCTACTAAAGAGAAACTTGTACTTACTCAGACATTAAGTATGAATCATATTTGTTTGGGCGTTTGTATGATTTCGTCTCGGGTATATGTCACTGACGGCCGAAATAGAAATATATTTAAGTACGACTTAAACGGCAATCTTTTGAAAACAATATCTGGTGATACAATCTTTTCATGGAATCGATTTTTAGCTGACAGTTACGATGGGAAGTCTTTATATGTCACTGACTGCAACAATGGACTGTTAAAACTTGATCTTAATGGTAATGTAATTTTGAAACAGCCAGCAAATATTTTTAAATCAGCATATGGTGTATGTACTGACGGACTTGATAATGTTTTTGTTGTTGGTAATAGATCAAATAATGTTGTTCAAATTACTTCTGATGGTGAGTGTCTTGGAGAGGTGATTACAAAAGACAGGTGTGTCACTAAGCCCACGGCAGTTTGTTTCGACAGACTGAAGTCAAAGCTTATTGTTGTAGGGCAACGCACAGGAATGCTTCACGTCTATTCTTTGGAATGAAATAACAAGTTTCTTTGCATGCAACAAGTTGAAACACTTAAAAACGCAAATGTCTTGTAGAATTCACTGACGAAGAGAAAATTATTCTAGTTTAAATTTGATTTTCAATGTGTGCTTACATTTCATACATTTTGCTTCAAGTAAGTTCAGAGGAGAAAAGTCTTATTTTTAAGTGTTTGATGTTTTTGTATCAAACTGATCAGTCACGGTATGCAATGTTGTTTTTCAAAATTATTAATTTTCTTAACAAAAATAAGTCTTTGTGTAATTTTCATATTACATTTTATGCCATTTTCCTTTATTTTACACCACCTTATTATATACATGTATTTTATAAATAAGATAAATAAATATAAATTTTGTTTACAAAGCAAATGATAGTTAGAAGCGAATATTTCTGTACCAATGCATGTTATAGTTATAAAAACTATAGGTTACACAGCAGTAAGGTAAATAAGAATCTTACTTTAACATAAATCTTTAATAAAACATTTCAAATGATGGTTATAAAACAGGCTTGACAAATTTTTCTGGTTGTACAATCATGTAATCAACTTCACGAGTCATTTGACAAACCACACACCAACAACAACACATCATCGCACAACAATCACATAATACGGATCCCTGAAATATACAAACAATATAGTTACACTTACAGTATCAATACTGAAATAGAATGTCTCACGTCTTAGGTCCCATAAATAGATTTTCACAAAGTGTTATTATACTGAAATAAATGCTTTACGCCTTAGATTCCATGAAAAGATTTCACAAAGTGTAATTATACTGAAATTAAATGTCTAATTAATCTCTTTGATCCCATAAATAGATTGTCACAAAGTAAATAAATAGTCACAAAGTACAACAGTACTGAAATAAAATGTGTAAGTCTTAGAACCAGTCAAAAATGATTTCCTAAGCCACAAGGTGGTGCAATCAATGAAAATATAGTAACAACACAATGGTCTGTACTGTGAAAGAAGCATTACGATAAATGTTTCTGCTTGCTGGTTCGATATATTTTTGAATTACCTCCCTTAAGTTAGACAAGAAATTCTTAAATATCAATAATATGATACTTCATTTAAACATTTATATAAAGCTAATGAGAGATAGATCGGTAATATAAATAAACTATATCTCTTCATTACTTCTAATTTTCATTGTCTCCCTTTATCACATTAAATTATGTACGTAACGTTAAAAGTATTGACGGTATTTGGTTACAGCTTCACACAGTAAAGAACGAGTATAGTAAGAGAATGTGAAGTGTTCAGGAATCATAATTTTGCCTTGCTTACTGTCTTCATTATTTTTTGTACTGATGTGCATTGAAACATATTGACATTTTGTGGAGATCAGAAGAGCCTTAAGCGATATTGTTGTATTCGAACAACTAGCAGAATATTAGCAACAAATGAAAATAAACACTTGTATAATTACTGAATAAACCTTGTACAAACAAGTTGATGTCTGACCCACAATAATGATGTGTAGCATTTTGCCCGCTACTTTTGCGTGCGCACTTAATTATTATGCGTGTAAAATTGTGATAAAATGTAAATTATGTGTTAATCTATACAATAAAGCATAATCCACGGTATATATTCTGTACATACTACATTATCTGTTACCCACGGTTTATATTCCGTACATACAACATTATCTATTACACATGGTACTCCGTACATACTACATTATCTGTTACCCACGGTATATATTCCGTGCATACTACATTACTGGTTACCCACGGTACTCCGTACATACTACATTATCGGTTACCCACGGTACTCCGTGCATACAACATTATCGGTTACCCACAGTTCTCCGTACATACAACATTATCTGTCACCCATGATACTCCGTACACACTACATTATCGGTTACCCACGGTATATATTCCGTACATAATACATTATCTGTTACCTACGGTACTCCGTATATACTACATTATCGGTTATCCACGGTACTCCGTACTTACTGCATTATCGGTTTCCCACGGTATATATTACGTACATACTACATTATCGGTTACCCACGGTACTCCGTACATACTACATTATCTGTTACCCACGGTACTCCGTACTTACTGCATTATCGGTTACACTCGGAACTTAGATAATGTAGTCGGTAACTGAAACTTTTGTGTGTGTATAAGTAGTAGACCACACAAAGCGTCTTTTAAGGTAGCTCGCTACTTTCCGACCGAAATTTGACAACATCTCAGATCTTGATGATTTTAGGTATGCAAACTTGCAGATATGTGAACTTTACTTCTGCAGCATTATTTTATGGAGGCAGTACACAGTTTCGGTCGTTTAGTTTCGAATTGGCCAGGGTGGAATTTACAAATAAGAGACAGTTTTGAAATTTTTAAAAAAGTTACTATATTTCAAGTTTCAATGACTAGTATTGTGTTTCAGTTATTTAGTAAAATTGAATTTAGTGGCGTTAACCCTTGCTTTTTTTAAAGGGTATGCAGAAGACTTAAAATAGTGAAAAAAGTAGGTGCATGACTCCCCGTTTGGATGTTAATTTCAGATTGTGCATTGTTTAATAAGGAAGAATCACTATAGCTTGTGATTTAATCTTTTGACGTTAATATCTTGTTGTATTTTGCGAATGGAGGTAATCCGCTCTTTTTGTCGTTGATTTTCGCGACCAAAACAATGAAAAACACAGGGCTATGTGCCAGAAAACTAGAAGGTGGACATGTATTTTTAATTGTTTGCTGTGAGATACATATGTATATGTTAAATATGAAATGCATTTATTTCAGGTGTGTGATTACAGCCTTGTGTGTGAGGTTTTGATTGTGGCGCAGTCAGTTGTTTGCCGAGAAGCCTTGAAAACTGTGTATTGCCCCCTATAAATAAACAGCGTTACTATGACGTCACTCTATCGGTGGCGGCGAAATTGCGTCTTTTTATCAGTAAACCGGTCTGTTTTTATCAATTTTCACCCGGTTTTAATTTTATAATGTTCAGTAAATGTATGTCTTTGTAATGATGTCTTTCTGTAATATTTGCTTAATAGTCTGCGATTCTACGTTATTTTCCCCTACGTTCTAACGTCCAAATCTGATGCAAATATCGCTTTATGATTGTTAAGATTTTGAATAATTTTTAAATAAATATATTTCTATATTTCCATAAGAGCAAATGGTGTATGCACGAAATATTTTCTAAACACTTTTCAAAATTTTGTAAAATTTTATCAAAGGAAATTTTATTCTGCAATAAAAATTTCATTCTATAAAACAAATGTTCAGAATGACTATGATTAGGGAAAACAGCAAATTTTACCTTTTTAAAACAAAAAAGAATTCTGTAGATAACAAGGTTTTTTTAACATATTAAAATTACTGCCCCAAACAAAAGTGATTATATAAACATGAGTGCCCGGGCGGCCCAAAACCCCCGCCCCGGGGTTGAGGGGCAGACATAAACAATGGCCCCGTCCCAATTTTCTTACATATAAGGATGTGTTTGAAGTTATTTTTAACTTTTTATCTGAAATACTGAATGATTATGTTTTTTTTTCACACAAAAAAGAAACATAGTGAAATAAGTTGATAAAACGTGTTTACCTTTATACCTCCAACAGTTCTTATCTTTGTTCGGTATGAAGCACAAGTACCGGGTAACCATGCCGACAAACAGGAATATGGCTCTCCTAATCGTTCACCTAACGTCCACAAGACAATAGGCAGGCATGTGCATGTGTACCAACCTGTAATGAAAGACAAATAGACATGGCTGATTCCAGGGTATTTTAACATACAACACGACGGAAGAGTTTGACGACGAACAAAAGAAAATCAATAGCTTTTTAATCAATTTCTCATTTAAGATGAGATGTAATAGACGATTTTTTCAATGAAATCAATTCAGGATGAAATGATAATCCGCTGTATCATATGACTATTAAAGTCTGTGATAAAAAAGAGAAAATAAGAATCCATAAAATATGTCCGAAACGGGAAAATTGAAAATATTGCAGGTCGGTTTGATTAAGCTTGTTCATGAACGGAACTATATCGTCCACGCCCCTTAAGACTTAAATAAAGATACTAAAATATGAGTACAAGATCCCAAGCAAAAAGAAGGGCACGGGACACGTACAATAGAAGGCATCGAAAAAAGGGGAAATGGGGAAAAAGGGGGGGAATTTGGTTTGTTTTAATAAAAAAATACTTATTATAAGGAATAGGGTACTGTTCAACTGATTAGAACTGTTCAACTTGCCTTGTCAGTTTCGTTTCATGAAATTCGTCAGCATACAACTTTAAATCCATTTATCTCAAATTTCCGGCAATAATACTATGTTAAATATTGAGAAAAAAACAAGAGAAATACTGTAAAGTATGTAACATTTAATCACAAATGAGATGTTGGATTACTGTTTTGTCGCGCAGAAAAAAGCTTCACAGGCACAGATCCACTGGAGGGGGTTGTGCATGTTTGTGTCAGGGGGGGGGGGCACTTCTCAAGACGCGCCTTTCCCATTTTTTTCCCATCTTAAACAGGACATGAATTGCCAAATATCAGCAGAAACTGGCTTCCAATATCACTTAATCGTTCATTGGATATTGGATTCCTGTTGAGCTTCCTGTTTGTTACAAATAAGTATAGACTAGCGTGTTACGCCCTTAAACCCAGTTTGCATTTCAATGGTGTATGCAGCAAAAATTTCCCAGTGTTATGCCCTTTTCGTTTTGTGGTTTTTAACTCTTTTGTTTAAGAAAAATTTTGGGGTTAAATTTGACCCTACCCCAAAAAACATCATAAAATTCCGAAATAAAAAAACCCGTTTTTTTTAAAAATTTCCCCTAAACCTTTAATTTTTTATGTTTTTTTTCTTTTTTTTGATACCTTTTACCTTTTTTATCGAGTCAATGCACTTTTTGGGAAACGGGGAAAAAAAAATAAAGACGTTTTTAAAAAAAGGCCCATCGAAAAGGTTATTATATTTTAATGGAATTATATAGAGACATACATTTTCCCAAGGGAAACATATCTTCTAAACCCAAAATTATAAAATTTATGGGGTTAAATGAAAAAGCCCTGATTTGTAAAAACTTTCGCACCCCAGTTTTCCCGGGAATAAATAAAAATTTGAACATTAGAAAGATCAGTTAGATTCATATTAAATTACACGCGATTATAACACACGCAGTTCTCGTGTTTATGTCTTGCTATTGTTTGTAAAATACACACATAAAAATGAAGCGTAAATGATAGCTTTAAAACTACATATCGCTTCGGTAGAAGATTACAATGAAGGATCTAAATATAAAATAAAATTTAATAGACTGTCATTGTTGCAATTTGTACGAGATAACACTTTTAAAACGAATAAGCGTAACATATAAATATCGTGCAAATTACGGACTAGCAAAAATGAATTTCCTACAAGCATCATTATTCTGTGGATTCCTTGCATATGTTATATATTATTTACAATCTGAAAAGAAGACGGTCATCGGGACAGAAAAAAATAACGATACGTATGATTATGTTATAGTAGGTGCCGGAAGTGCTGGAGCAGTATTAGCAACCCGGTTGTCTGAGAATCCGGATGTTACAGTTTTGTTACTCGAAGCAGGCGGTGACGGAAGTGACAATGCTGAGATGTTTGATACTCCGCTGATGACTCCACTTTTAACGCGGTCGTCCTCTGACTGGCAGTATGAGAGTACACCACATGAACCAGGTCTTTACATAAATATGAACCGAGAAAAACATACATATATATCAGGTAAAGTACTTGGCGGAAGCAGTATGTTCAATTACATGCAGTATGCTCGAGGTAGTCGCCACGATTATGATGAATGGGCCGATAGCGGCTGTCGTGGGTGGAGTTATAATGACGTGCTCCCTTACTTTCTCAAGTCTGAAGATTATTTGGTACAGGAAGGCAAACCAAGTAAATATCATAATAAGGGGGGACCGCTAGGTGTTAGTAAAGAAACCGGTTTTCCTGAATTAACGAAAAGATTTATTGAAGCTGGTAAAGAATTAGGATTTAAAGAGGTGGACTATAACGGTGAAGATCAGATAGGCTTTGGAGTGAGTCAAGTTAACACCAGGAAAGGTATTCGAGCAAGCACTTTAAATGAATTCCTCCGACCCGCAATGAGTCGTAACAACTTGCACATTTCTACGAATTCTCATGTTACAAAAGTTAATTTTCTAGAGAAAATGGCTACTGGAGTAAGTTACATCCGTAATGGTGTAAAACATACAGTTAATTCAAAGAAAGAGTTAATTTTATCGGCTGGATCATTCCGCACACCACAGTTGCTAATGCTTTCCGGTATTGGTCCTAAAGGCCATTTAGACAGTTTTAAAATACCTCTTGTGAAAGATCTACCTGTCGGTGAAAATTTGCAGAACCATCTCATGCTATTTCATCCGTCGGATATAAATATAACACATGAAGGGATAACAAATTCGAAACTTCAAGATCCGCAAACTTATCTACAATATCTATTGTTTAACTCTGGATACCTTGCATCAACTGCGTTTGTTGGCGAGGCTTTTGTGAAATTAGAATTGAAATTAGAATTGCAGAAAGTAAAATATCCTGATATTCAATTAAATTTTGGAGTTTTACAACCATGTTTGGAAGATTTCGTTATAAACTCAACTCTACTTGAAAGTGTTTATAGACGCACATCTGTCCCAGGCATTGTAATTCTTATCACAAGCCTGCATCCTAAAAGTCGCGGGAAAATTTTGTTGCAAAGTACTGATCCTTTTGACTATCCAATTATTGATCCACATTACATGGAAAAAAGAGATGATCTTAAGGTATATATTGAAGCTATGAAATTTGTCGAACGGGTTTTTGACACAAAACCTTTAAAAGAGATAGGTGCTGACTCTAAACGGTTTAAGGATGCCAAGTTCTGTTCAATGTTTGTGTATAAATCAGATGAATTTTATGAATGTTTGATCAAACATTTGATACAAATGCATAACCACCAGAGCTGTACTTGCAAAATGGGTGCCGAAAATGATAAAACTGCTGTTGTGGACCCATTTCTAAAGGTAAAAGGCGTTGATCGACTAAGAGTAGTTGATGCGTCAGTGATACCAAATCTTACTTCCGGTAACACGAACGCGCCCGTGATCATGATAGCAGAAAAAGCCGCTGATATGATCCTTGGAATCGATTCTGTTAAAGACATTAGAAAACGGATAAACCAAATTTAGACACAAATATTTACTTGTATATTGTAGAAGACTTAACGTCGTCAATGTAAAAATATGTA